CAATCCAAACTTTTCTCAAAGTAAGACTGGCCAGCTTTTAAGAAAATAGAGTAAATTTTATACAAATTTAGTGTATATAGCCCAAATTTTTAACAATGGTATTTAGAGCACTTGAGTGTTAGGGGCACATCAGTGAACATTAAGTTTATGTATCCTAGCATAACCAAATAAGGTCAAATACTGTGACTTATTTCTGATTGGAAAAGACATTCTCCAGTTATTTCACAGAAATCAATTTGATCAATAAACTTACATACATGACTTTATTTTTACAAGTACAGACCTAGCTGGCATGACTCACGAAATCGTAATGACACGATTGCAAACAAACCATACCACGGGCGGGGATAGAACCCGCGATCAGACACTCTGATCGCGGGTTCTAATCCCCGCCCGTGGTATGGTTTTTTTCTAGCTAGCACCATTGGCATGCTATATAGAAAGCCCCTGGTTATGCAGAGCATTTCAGGCAGCCTAGGTTAACCCTTTCAGGGTCTGTCCTGTAGATTACGGCTTTACGTTCAGGGTCCAAACCGTAGATCTACGCCAAAATTCTAGCGGCGCCAAATTTAGCACAAGAAGGCTGGTAAGCCTACATCTGAGAGAATGGGTCTGGGTGGTCAGCGTGCACACCATAGAAAAAATCTGGAGGCCTGCATGGCATTGTGGGAATGCAGGCAAAGTAGCTTTGTTCATAGTGCCTGGCGGCAAGGAAGCTCTCACTCCCCACTCACTCTCGGGGCAAATTCTGACTCTCCTCTTCACAACTTACAGTTCTAAGACTGATGGAAGTGGAGCTGAAGATGAATTCTATGGTTTTGAACCATATGGTACCATTGTGCCATATGGTACCATATGGTACAATGGTGCCTTGTCATACAATGGTATATGGTACAATGGTAAATAACAAAAAGGCACAATACCGTGACTGGAACGATACACAAATAACCCGCACATAAAAGACAGAAGCTTACGACGACGTGGAATACAATGAGTGTACACTAATACATTATACTGGTCTCAGGCCACAAATGTTATTAGAAAAAGAAAAAAATAGAAAAGAAAAGAAAGTATAAAAAACGCAAAATAAAAAAAAATGGGATTTTGTGGAAGTCACTGATGTTGCCGCCACCCGGTCATTTTGGGTCAACTTCCCGCCACTGTATCTCGGTAAGTACTGATCAGAAATTTTTGTTTTTTGTCTTATTACTTTCACAAAAATATACTCTTTAATTCTGTAAGAAAAACAATTTTTTTTTTTTTTTTCAAAATTTCTTGGACACTGGAGCACCACATCAGATTTTGGCCTTGGACCTTGAAGGGGTTAATATTGTTCCCCAGGAAGTGAACATTTGACTAACATCCAGCTACTTACTGCTAAGTGAATAGGGGCATCAGGTGTAAGGAAATACAAGTGCTCCTCACTTTATGATGGTTCAACTTATGATATTTTAAATTTTTGATAGTGTGATATCAGAGTATAAAACAAATTCCAGTCACACAGAGCAAGAAACTATTGTGAAGGAGCTTGGAGTGATAATGTCAGAGGATCTCACTTTCAAAGATCACAACAATGTATATATTACATCTGCTAGAAAAATGATGGGATGAATAATGAGAAACTTCAAAACTGGGAATGCCAAGCCCATGATGATTCTCTTCAAATTGCTTGTCCTCTCAAGGCTGGAATATTGCTGCACACTAATGGCCCCTTTCAAAGCAGGCGAAATTGCAGACCTGGAGAATGTACAGAGAACTTTCACAGTACATATAAGTACAATAAAGGACCTAAATTACTGGAAACAGTTGAAGTCCCTTGATTTGTACTCCCTGGAATGCAGGCAGGAAAGATACATGATAATTTACACTTGGAAAATCCTCGAGGGACTAGTCCCAAATTTGCACATGAAAATCACTCCCTACGAAAGCAAAAGACTGGGCAGGAGATGCAACATTTCCCCAGTGAAAAGCAGGGGTGCCACGAGTACACTAAGAGACAACACAGTAAGTGTCCAGGGACCAAGACTGTTTAACTGCCTCCCAGCATACATAAGGAGGATTACAAATAGACCTCTGGCTGTCTTCAAGAAGGCACTGGACAGGCATCTGAAGCCAGTACCTAACCAGCCGGACTGTGGTTCATACTTCAGTTTGTGTGCAGCCAGTAGTAACAGCTTGGTTGATCAGGCTCTAATCCACCATGAGGCCTGGTCATAGACTGGGCCATGGGGACATTGATCCCCGAAATTCTTTCCAGGTATACTCCAGGTATGTACATCCCTGGCAATGGCAAGCCATGCTCTGTCTCTTTACTTTTCATTACTGTTTAGTTAGAGGAACTGTTTATTTATTGTTCAGTTGATTAATGCTCAGATGTGAGTATGTTGGTGACAATGTTTATATAAAAATTAAGAGGCCAGTCATGAACTGCACCTGTTCAGGAGAGGCTCTCCCAGTGTTTATATACCCTCTGCTTATCTTCCTTTGCATAAAGGTTAAGAGGTGAAAGGAACCTACTGCATCTATATTTGTGTATCAGTTTAGTTGGTACACAAACATTTTGTAATACAGAAACTAGGATGTCTGTGTGAGAGAAACTTCTTGTTGGATTTATTTGGGCCACTGACCCTGAGGAAGGCCAGAATGCAATGGAGATAACTCAGATATTGAATCACTGACTACCGCTTGATATGACAGGCAAAAAAAGATAAAATTTCAGAAATAACAATGCAGTATTTCTAAGACTACAACCAAACATATCACTTACCAGTAATCCATAATCAGTGGTATCAAATGCAGTAGAGAGGTTCAACAAAATTAGCAAATGCATTTCCTGAACAAATGTTCAGTACCAAATCATTATAAACTTTACACCAAGCCTTACCAGTTCAATAAAATGGTTGATATATAGATAGAACACAAAATAAAAATATTACTCCAATCCAGAAAGGTCAATGTATTTTTTATTAACACATTGGTCTTTTCTCACCTAGGCAGGGTGACCCAAAAATGAAGAAACGCATTCATTCACATCATCATTGTCTTGCCAGAGGTGTGCCTACACTACAGTTAAAAAACTGCAACATATCTCCACCCCCTCCTTCAGAGTGCAGGCACTGTACTTCCCACCTCCAGAACTCGAGTTCGGCTAACTGGTTTCCCTGAATTCCTTTATAAATGTTATCTTGCTCACACTCCAATAGAACACCCAATCAGTAAAACCATTTGTCTCCACTCTTTCCTATCTAACATGCTCACACACGCTTGCTGGAATTCCAAGCCCCTCACACACAAAACCTCTTTTACCCCTTCCCTCCATCCTTTGCTAGGATGACCCCTACCCTGCCTTCCTTCCACTACAGATTTATATGCTCTCCAAGTCATTCTGTTTTGTTCCATCCTCTCTAAATGTCCAAACCACTTCAACAACCCTTCCTCTGCCCTCTGGATAGTACTTTTAGAATACCCACACCTCCTCCTGTTCTTCAAGTTACAGATTCTCTTCATCTCCACAGACTCCTCAGAGCTCCACTCAAAATAGAATATTTAGAGAGGAACATAAGATTGGAAATGGAATGATAGTTTGACATGTTTTCTGAATCAAGGGAAAACTTCTTGAGAACTGGGTGAAGCATAGCTCTCTTCATTGATGTTGGAAAACATCCGCTTCGAAAATCTTTGATGAACAGTTATTAAAGGTACAGCACTTTTATATGTGGGCAAGTTCTTTTGACACATTTATTGGATTAAATGTACATTATATCTTATCAGAATGCATGATATGCCCCAGAACTCTCTCTTCACCAACTGGAATAAATTGAAGGTAACCTGTGATACATTACAAGCTGAAGCAATGAGAGAGAACTCTGCTCGAGTTTAATCCAAGTCCAAACAAATTGTCTTTATTGTCTCGCCAAAATAATCAGAGAAAGCCGAGGCCAGCTTAAAAGCAGACTCACAGGTAGGAAAAGCAGGTTCAGATGCGTGACCACACAAGTCATTCCATGACATGCCTGAAGTTTTTTCCTGTAATATTTCACCATATGAGCAGATAACCACCGATTGAAGACTATGTGCTTCTACACACTCGACCATGATTCAAGAGAACTTACTCAACACTTTTATCTCTCCACACTCCTAAGAGCTCTATGTAGCTGAACACCAGAGGAATCATACCAGGAACTAAGGTCATGAATTAAGATTCTTGTAGTGACCAAAGGACAGAACTTGCTAGTCACAGCCACAAACTCTTCATCATTAAACTTGGCCAACTGATCATCAGACAATGCAGATGTATCTACCTTGCCCTTGCCAAGGTGAATTATTTTTATTTTGTTTGGCTCTGGGGCTGATGGAATTTCTGGGGTTTCAACCTCCCTTGTCTCCCTCTTGGGCACTGCCCCTGGCAAGCACTGCCCCTAGCAAGCACTGCCCCTAGCAAGCACTGCCCCTAGAAAGCACTGTCCCTTAGTGAGCATTGCCCCTAGCAAGCACTGCCTCTAGCAAGCATTGCCCCTGGCAAGCACTGCCCCTAGTAAGCACTGCCCCTAGTAAGCATTGCCCCTAGCAAACACTGCCCCTAGCAAGCACTGCCCTTAGTAAGCACTGCCCCTAGCAAGCACTGCCCTAGAAAGTACTGTCCCCTAGTGAGTATTGCCCCTAGCAAGCACTGCCTCTAGGAAGCATTGCCCCTGGCAAGCACTGCCCCTAGCAAGCACTGCCCCTAGTGAGCATTGCCTCTAGCAAGCACTGCCCCTAGCAAGCACTGCCTTAGTAAGCACTGCCCCTAGCAAGCACTGCCCCAAACAACCACTGCCTCTAGAAAAAACTGCCCCAAGCAAGCACTACCCCTAGCAAGCATTGCCCCTAACAAGCACTGCAGAAATACTAAAGCCACTGGAGTGCTAGGCTACTATGTCTTAACAAAGACTACATCTGTGTGTGCGCCTCTTGATATACAATTGTAAGGTACAGTATATCACATAAGTGTCTTAACTTACCTTTGTGTCTCTGAGAAGCCTCACTACAGAATCTATAGGCTGGACCATCAACATCTGCATAGTCTCTCTTCTGTAGCTCTTCATACTGATCCTCAGAATACACTTCCACGTTATCCTGCACCACATAAATCTGTGAAGCATTTTAATATAGCTTTTGAATCCTTTAATATTTTATTATCTTGGCCATTTCCCATTATATTCACAAAATATCGAACATAATATTTATTGACAACATAATTAAAACACTATATGTACTGTATCTTTTTCACAGTGGCTTGCTGGTAATAGTGCTAGAATATCTGATGCAGTTATAATTAACAGCTCTCACTTCACAAGTGAAATAAACCAAACAAACTGTGAAGATACCGCTATTAAGATCATAAAAGACAAGCTTCAAGTTAATGTACTAACAAAACTAAAGAAGCATGTTTACTAGGAAAATGAAGTAGCAAAAATTTTTTTATGATTAAATTTCACTCGTATGATATGAAAAAGGATCTAATTAGAACATCAATTAGAGCAAATAAAGAAGTGTACATTAATGAGTGCCTGATGAGGAAACGTCGTGACCTTTTGTTCAGATTGAGAAAACTCAAACGGGATTATAATGACAAAATTCATCAGTGCTTCACACGAGATGGGAAAATTCTAGTGAGAAAAACAGATGTAGGCCGTTTGTATACTATCACAAATGAACATGAACTATCCAGCTTCCTTAGAAATGCAGATCTTACTGAGACTGATTAACGAATTTGTCCTTAACATTATTATCTACATGTAGTGTATGTTCCTACTGCATTATTATGCAAATTCTTGTACCATCATTTACTAGTTAGTACCAACTACCTCATTGTCTTAGGTTTTTGTGCTGTTGCTTGCTTGATTAAATTTTTGTGCTATTAGTCAAAAATCGTATTGTGCAATTATTTACCGGTTATATAAATACAGTGGACCTTCCCTTATTGTTGGGCTCTGTTATCGCGAATTTTAGATATTGCTAACTTTTTTCGTAAAAATATTGGCTCAGTTTTCGTTACTTTCCTCCGTTCTTGTTGGTGGTATGGAACATGTCCGAGTGTGCCCGTGCGCGCACAACCCCTCACACACGCATTCTGAGGCAGCGTCGCTTTGTTTCTGGCGAGTGAACATTATCCTGCGAGATCATAAGAAACATTTCGTAATATTTCATGGTTTTTTGCACTTGTTTATCCTGTGTGACTGCTAAATAAGCCACCATGGCCCCAAAGAAAGCTGCTAGTGCCAGTCCTTTGGTAAAGGTGAGAAACACAATAGCATTAAAGAAAAAGATTGCAGAAAAATACGAAAGTGGTGGTGGTAGAGGGTGGTAGTGATGGTGGTAGAGGGGGTAGTGATGGTGGTAGAGGGTGGTAGCAGTTGTGATGGTGGTAGTGGTTGTGATGATGGTAGAGGGTGGTAGAGGGTAGAGCTGCAAGAGCTCTCCGGACAGTTTTTTTGTGCGACAGGGGTTCAGTGACTCAAGCTGGTCCTAGTGCCATTAGAACACAAAAAAGGGAAGTAACCCATGATAAGGACTTGGTGCCTGAAGTCTTTGTGGAAAGGGATTTCCCTTCTAAACAATAATCAGTCCTCCCTCTCCCCTCCTCCCTGTCTTCCATACACCAGTAAAGGTAAGTGTAATGTTAAATGTTCATTTATACATGTTATTAGTGTTTTGTAATATATTTGTCATTCTTTTCTGTATGTAAATCTATATATACTCTCTAAAAAAAATTATTTTTTGTTAATACTTTTGGTAGTCTGGAACGGATTAATTGCATTCACATTATTTTTAATGGGGAAAATGGTTTAAGTTTTCATCAATTTCACATTTCATCAGACTCTATGGAACGGATTAATGATGAAAAGGGAGGGTCCACTGTAACTGCTTTATACCTCGTAACCTGCCTTCCAAGCCATTAACCCCTTTCAGGGTCCAGAGGCAAAATTTCAGTGGGTGCCCCAGTGTCCAGGAAATTTTGAAAAAAAAAAAAAAAAAAAAAGAAAAAAAAAAAAATTTGTCTTACAGAATTAAAGATGATTTTGTGAAGGTAATAGCACACACAACTTTTTTTTTCTGATCAGTACTTAGCGAGATATAGAGGCGTGAAGTTGACCCAAAATGACCGGGTGGCAGCAACATCAGTGACTTCCGCAAAATTGCATTTCTTTATTTTACGTTTTTTATACTTTTTTCTTATCTTTTCTACTTTTTTTCTTTTTCTAGTAACATTTGTGGCCTGTGAGACCAATACAGTGGAACCTTGACTTACAAGTTTAATCTGTTTCAGGAGCTAGCTCATAACTCATTTTACTCGTATATCAAATTAATTTTCCTCATTTAACCCCTTCAGGGTCCAAGGCCCAAATCTGAAGTGGTGCCCCAGTGTCCAAGAATTTAAAAAAAAAAAATTTGTTATTTTTTCTTATGAAATGGTAGAGAATCTTTTTGTGAAGGTAATAAAACAAAAAGTAAGAAATTTGATGGAAAATTGATGAAATTATGCTCTCGCGAATTTTGATGTGCCAGCGATATTTACGAATTGGCGATTTTGCCGACTTTGACTCCCATTTTAGGCCAATTACATTATTCTAGTCAACCAAATTCTTAGTTATTTCACTAGTATTACTTCTATTCTATCAATTGAGCACAAGAAATCGCCAAGTCAACTGTTTCAACTACAAAATAAAGTGATCAGAAATTGGTAATTTGGCCAATTTAACACAAAGTTCAAAATATTCCAATTTCAAAATAGGGTCCAGAATAAACAATGTAGGTATTTCTGGAACTAAACTAACATTTCCTCTGTTCATTAGTTACGTTTTGAGGCCTTACAAATAAATTCCTTTTTGATTTTTTATTCACATAATGAATTTTTATTCACACCAAAAAATAGAAGATTTACTGTTATGCAATACTGTAATAATTGTATAAATATCATCACCATATTTGTGAATGCATATTAGACCCACCAGCTGGCGTGTATTAGACGTGTGAGGTCGTTTGTTTACTCTCGAATATCTGCAAAAATTTAACATTTCTGCTACTTTGAGCACAGTTTCAAGCCATTTCCAGTGCTAAAACCAATCAAAATCATCTCTATTTCTGTAATATGTCTTCCATTCTATCAAATGAGACCAAGAAATCGCAAATAGATCTATAAAAAACATACGAAAAAACACTGCAAAGTCGCTGTTTTAATCGAAAAATCATGATTTCAGTTTTTTCTCTCATTATACACAGCGTGCTGCAGGATCTGTTTTATGTGGTGCACACATACCACATAGATGTATTCTCTCATATCTAGGCCCAAATGTACCACTCACAGTTTATCAGAGTGAGCTGAGCTCATGACGTAGATCTACGGTTTGGACCCTGAACGTAAAGCCGTAGCTCTACAGGACGGACCCTCAAAGGGTTAAATTAATTGAAAAGCCATTAATTCGTTCCTGCACTCTGGAAAGACAAGAAAAAATACTTGAATATGACGCTATTATCAACTGTACGGCTTATTTATCTATCACAATTCATATAACATGACATAATAAACAATATAATTAGCACAGAAACATGTGTGTACTCTAGAATGAATAAAATAGGCCATAATATGGCAGAGGAAGTGGCAGCGGCAGAAGTGTCAGTCATATCTGTCCCAATTTGACTAGTATCTTCCCATGTTCTTACTGTAAGAGAAAACGGAGTATTTTTGAGGCTAACCGCAGTAGATCACTAGGACCCATGGTTAGAAAACAGAAATTTGGCCAAATGACTAAAAAAAATGCAAACAAGGACGAGAGAACTGCCCCCACAGGGATGTAAACATGTTTACTGCTTACCAGCTGTGCCAACTAGCAGAAGCAATATGAATTATTACGTATGTATTATGCATTATTATTATTATTATTATTATTATTGTTATTATTATTAATTTAGGGAGCTGAAGCTCTATCGTTATAATAATAATATATTATTAGTATATTATTATTATTATTAATTTAGGGAACTGAAGCTCTATCATTATTATAATAATACAGTAAACCACCATTGAAGAATTGTTGCACAATTTTATGTAACACATTGTATAATTAATTTAACATTGTTCAGTTTGTGGGAAGGAAAAAAAAAAATTCTTTTGCTCAAGCTGCTGCCTTGTTGTGTAGCAGCCGGGGAGCCCTCCCCTACCACTCCCCCCCCACCACTCCCTGTCAACCCCCCATCATCCCCTACCACTCCCCGCCACTCCCCCGCCACTCCCCACCACTCCCCGTCAACCCCCCATCATCCCCTACCACTCCCCGACACCACCCGACAATCCCCTACCACTTCCCGACACCACCCCCACCATCCCAGCATTCCTAATTCATACTTGTCCAGTCTTTCTCTGCTACAAGGCAGCTGTGTTTGTCAATTGTGTTATGATATTTTAATTACTATATCTTGTATCTGCCAAGCAATCATGACACCCAGTAGCCATAATAGTGTTGCTGAAAGTGGCATGAAGAGGTATAAGCACTTAAGTCTTAGAATTAACAAAGATATTAGACAAGAGAGAACCTGTAGCCATAACTGAAGTGTTACTTTGTACACAGAAAAAGAGGTTAACATGAGTTTGTGACTGAATGACTTGACTGACTTATTGAATGACTTGACTTAGTGAGTGACTTGACTGACTTAGTGAGTGACTTGACTGACTTAGTGAGTGACTTGACTGACTTAGTGAGTGACTTGACTGACTTAGTGAGTGACTTGATTGACTTAGTGAGTGACTTGACTGACTTAGTGAGTGACTTGACTGACTTAGTGAGTGACTTGACTGACTTAATGAGTGACTTGACTGACTTAGTGAGTGACTTGACTGACTTAGTGAGTGACTTGACTTACTGAATGACTTGACTGACTTACTGAGTGACTTGATTGACTTACTGAGTGGCATGATTGTAATAATATTATATTATTATTATTGCTGAGAAGAAAAAGATAATGATTTCCATGGAATTAAAGCATGGAATCATAGATAAACAAACGAGGTGTCCAGGTTTTGGGTTGAGGGGGAAGAGGGAGGGGGGAGCTGGCTCGTAACTCACAGCAAAAAATCGGCCCAGGGACGGCTC